AGGGAGAAAGAGAGAGAGAGTATGTGTGTGTAAGCCACTCTGAGAGTCATCATCCTGGACAGTACCAAGAGTAGGCTATGGTTCCTGCCCTATTCTGCAGCAGGAGAAACATCCCTGCATTGGAGTTCACGGACACTTAGTAATCTCATTCTCCCTGTTCCATGGCTTGTGATCACCGTCCAACAAGCTTGGGAGTCTAGTAGGTGGGGTGGACAAAACAAAGTACGCAAAGAGCCAGATGCAGTGGCTCATACCTGTAATCTTAGCACTTTGGGAGGCTGAAGCAGGAGGTTCACTTGAGCCCAGGAGTTCAAGACCAGCCTGGGCAATATAGTGAGACCTCATCTCTACCAAAAATAATGTTAAAAATTAGCTGGGCATGGTGGTGTGCACCTGTAATCCTAGCTACTCCAGATGCCAAGGCAGAGCTTGAGCTGGGGAGGTTGAGGCTGCAGTGAGCTGGGATCATACCATTGCACTCCAGCCTTGGTGACAGATCTAGATTCTGTCTCCAAAAAAAAAAATGTACACAAAGAAATAGATCTCAGCCAGGTGCAGTGGCTCATGCCTGTAATCCCAGTACATTGGGAGACTGAGGAGGGGAGATCACCTGGGGTCAGGAGTTCAAGACCAGCCTGGCCAACATGGTGAAACCGTCTCTACCAAAATACAAAAATTAGCCAGGCATGGTGGTGTGTGACTATAATCCCAGCCACCCAGGAGGCTAAGGCAGAAGAATCACTGGAACCCGAGAGGCAGAGGCTGCAGTGAACTGAGATCACACCACTGCACTCCAGCCTGGGGGACAGAACAAGACTCGGTCTTAAAAAAAAGCAGATCTCCTAGGCAAAAGATACCAACTGCCACAGCAGGTGTCATGAGGGGCAATACTGAGAAGCAGAAGCATCAATGTGTGATGAGAAAATCAGGAAAGCATGGGGGAGGGGCTGGCAGCACGTGAGATGTAGAATGCGCCCCAGGACTGCAGGCAGTTTGCTCTACCCGGCCATGTGCCGTGGATTCTAGAGGCCACACGATGGGCTCTACTCTGCAGCGCCTCCTCGAGGTGATGCTGGTGATGGCCCTTATGGCATGTAGGGGGCTTTGATCCTATGTGTGCTTTTGGGTGAGTGCAAGTTTTCCCCTGTCTGCTCAGGGATGTCTACCCCTACCATGGGACCCGTGTTGCTGCTGGCAATGGCTCTTGGGTTTGCTTGTTAACTCCACACAGCTGGGAGTTGCTGCAGCTCTCTGTGACTCTGGCAGATGGTTGGCTTGTGGAATCATTAGTTTTGTGCTATAGTGAGAATGACAAGGGTGTTGGAAGCACTGCTGGAGAGAAGTTATACCTGCTGGAGTCAGGGCTCAGAATAAACCCATGGTTAGGATTTTTTTTTTTTTTTTTTTTTGAGACGTAGTCTCACTCTGTTGCCCAGGCTATAGTGCAGTGGTGCGATCTTGACTCACTGCAACCTCTGCCTCTCAGGTTCAAGCAATTCTCCTGCCTCAGCTTCCCGAGTAGCTGGGATTACAGGTACGTGCCACAACACATGGCTAATTTTTGTATTTTTAGTAGAGTCGGGGTTTCACCATGTTGACCAGGCTGGTCTCAAACTCCTGACCTCGGAGGATCCACCCACCTCAGCCTCCCAAAGTGCTAGGATTATGGGCATGAGTGGCGGCACCCAGCCATGGATGTTTTTCATTTTGGACATTTGAGTTTCAGGTGCCAGCGGGACCATCAAATATGTGAAACTAGCAGCTGGACACCTGAGCGACCACTCAGAAGGGAGCTCAGCACTAAACGGCAGTCTGGGATGATGTCTGCAAAGAGGGCCTGGTGGCAGTCCCGGGAGTGGGTGAGACCGCAAAGCAGGAAGGAGAGAGAACAAGAGGCTCAAGGGCAGAGTCTCGAGGATGCCAACACTTGTGGGAAGAGAACACGCAACTGTTGGAGAGAGGAAAGGAAAATCAGAAAAGTGCAGGACCCCTATCGCCAGGGAGGAGCATTTCAGTAGGGCCAGCCCAAGAAAAGCCTGCAATCCAGCAGCAATCAGAGGTCACAGGAGTTCTCAGAGGAAGCAAGGACTCTGACATGCTGAGGGTGGATCCAGATTGTGCCAATTAAGAAAGAAGTGGGTGGTGAGATCCAGAAGCAGCCAGTAAAACACTCTTTGTAGGGCTTTGCCAGCAATGGGGGGAAGAAAGGAAGGACTGTGGCTCGAGGGGGAGGAGGGATTGGAGAAAGACGTGTTTTTAGAATGGGTAAGCTGAGAACGGATTTGTAGGAAAAGAAGAAAACAGCGAGATGGAAAAGGAAGGAGACAGAGGGCATTTGGTGGAGTGGAGAAGGCCCCGGAGAAGGAGGGGGAAATGAACAGAGCATATTTTTATAAAGCACACTAATCGAAGCAGCACATCCGTGGTAATAATAAGTCCTTACATCATGTGAAAAGCAAGGAAATGCAATCTCCAAAGTATTTTTATACGTTCTAGCTTATTTAATCCTGTGAGAGATAGAGTACATTTATTGCTACTAAAATATGAGGAGGTTAGATGATTTACCCAAGATCACCCCACTCATCAACAGAAAAACTGGGGGTCAAGCGCCTGTTGTGTCAGCACTGTGTGAGGTGCCTGAGATCCCAGACCAGGAGAGGCTCCCACCTCAAAGAGCTCAAAACCCAGCAGACTGAGCTCCCTACTACTGGCAAAAAAATGCCCCAAAATATAATGTGCCCAGAGGTGGGCACAAATTCAGACCAGGGAATGGAGAGGAGTGGCATTCAAGGGCAGCTTTCCAGAGGAGGCGATGTTTGGGTGGGGTCTGGAAGGAAACACTGCAATGACCTGGCTGAGAAGTGGGCAGCGGCAAGAGGAAGTCCACTCCCAGCAAAGGGAGTTTGTATGCAACCTGGGCCTTTGGGAACGGTGAGCAACTCACTCCGCAGGAACACAGGGTAGGCGTGGCTGGGTGCAGGAGAGGAGTGTGCCAAGATGTGGGTGGAAGGAACATGGCAGCCACCCTGAAGAATTCTAATTCCTTCCTTTGCTTAAACCACTGAGGCATTTTGATCAGGGGAAAGATATCATCAGATTTGCATTCTAGAACAGTCACTCTGGAAGTCCCCTGGAGGCAGTGCAGAGGCTGGGTTATGAGAGGCAGGGAGACCAGTTAAGAAGCAAATACAGTGGCCTGGGCAAGAAAAGAGAAGGGCCTGGAAGGGGCAGTAGCATTTGTATTGGAACGGAGAATGAATATCTGTCTATGAAGAAAGAACTGGTCAGCTTCAGAGGAAGAATGAGATGAGGAAATTGGGACAGGAAGGGTCTAGGATGGTTCCCAGGTTCTGGCTTGAACAGAAGCGGGAAGAAAAGCAGATACTAGTGAGGATGGGGAGTCAGGCAGCAAATAAGTTCAGGACACATTGGGTTGAGGAACCCATGAGACATTCAGGTGGAGTGTCTGGTAGGCAGTTGGAGACAGAGGTCTGAAGCTCCTGGGGAGGCCAACCTAGAGATAATCTTTGTGAGTCATCAACATAAGTCACCAACATAAGCCACCGGTGGGGATGAGTGTTTGGAAGGAGAAAAGAAAAGGGCCTCTCATACAGCCTGGAGGAGAACTAGCATTTACGAAGAAGGTGAAAGAACCCAGGTGTGGTGGCTCATGCCTGTAATCCCAGCACGTTGGGAGACCAAGGCAGGAGGATCCCTTGAGCCAAGGAGTTCGAGACCAGCCTGGGCAGGATGACAAAACCTCATCTCTACAAAAAATAAAATTAGCTAGGTGTGGTGGCTCACACCTATAATCCCAGCACTTTGGGAAGCCAGGGCGGGCAGATCACAAGGTCAGGAGTTCACAGATCAGCCTGACCAAGATGGCAAAACCCCGTCTCTACTAAAAATGCAAAAATCAGCCAGGCGTGATGGTGGGAACCTGTAGTCCCAGCTACTCAGGAGGATGAGGGAGGAGAATTGCTTGAACCCAGGAGGCCGAGGTTGCAGTGAGTCAAGATTGTGCCACTGCACTCCAGCCTGGGCAACAGAGTGAGACTCCATCTCAAAATAAATAAATAAATGAAAGAAGGGGAAAGAAAGAATGGGGTAGCTCACACCTATAATCCCAGCACTTTGGGAGCCCAAGGCAGGAGGATCACTTGAGCCCAGGAGTTCAAAACCAGCCTGGACAGGATGGCAAAACCTCATCTCTACAAAAATATAAAATTAGCCAGGTGTTGTGGCACTTGCCTGTGTCCCAGCTACTCGGGAGGCTGAGGCAGGAAAATAGCTTGAGCCTGGGAGGTTGGGCTTGCAGTAAACTGTGATTGCACCATTGCACTCCAATCGGAGTGACAGAGCAAGACACCATCTCAAAAAAAAAAAAAAGGAAGAAAGAGTAGGTGAAAGGAGGTTGTGATATGACCAGTTGACATATAATATATATTTTTTAAATGTTAATAACTATTAAAAAAGAAAATAATGTTTTTAAAAATAGTACAAAGACCAGTTACAGTGGCTCACACCTGTAATCTCAGCATTTTGGGAGACTGAGGCATGTGGATCACTTGAGGTCAGGAGTTTGAGACCCGCCTGGCCAACATGGTGAAACCCCAGCTCTACTAAAAGTACAAAAATTTAGCTGGGCATGGTGGTGCACACCTGTAGTCCCAGCTACTCAGGAGGTTGAGGCAGGAGAATTGCTTGAGCCCGGGAGTTGCAGAGTGGAGTGAGCCGAGATTGCGCCACTGTACTCCAGCCTGGGTGACAGAGTGAGGCTCCATCTCAAAATAGATTAATTAATTAAATAAAATAAATAAATGAAAATAAAAATACAAAAAAAATATCAGGGCATGGCACACTCCTGTAATCCCAGCTACTTGAGTGTCTGAGTAACAAGAATTGCTTGAACCTGGGAGGCGGAGGTTGCAGTGAGCTGAGATCACGCCACTGCACTCCAGCCTGGGTGACAGAATCAGTATAAAAAAAAAAATTTTCGGTGTCTGGCTCCCGCTGTCACAGCCATTGCAGTACATTGAGCTCCATAGAGACAGTGCCGGGGCAAGTGAGAGCCGGACGGGCACTGGGCGACTCTGTGCCTCGCTGAGGAAAAATAACTAAACATGGGCAAAGGAGATCCTAAGAAGCCGAGAGGCAAAATGTCATCATATGCATTTTTTGTGCAAACTTGTCGGGAGGAGCATAAGAAGAAGCACCCAGATGCTTCAGTCAACTTCTCAGAGTTTTCTAAGAAGTGCTCAGAGAGGTGGAAGACCATGTCTGCTAAAGAGAAAGGAAAATTTGAAGATATGGCAAAGGCGGATAAGGCCCGTTATGAGAGGGAAATGAAAACCTATATTCCTCCTAAAGGGGAGACAAAAAAGAAGTTCAAGGATCCCAATGCACCCAAGAGGCCTCCTTCGGCCTTTTTCCTGTTCTGCTCTGAGTATCGCCCAAAAATTAAAGGAGAACATCCTGGCCTGTCCATTGGTGATGTTGCGAAGAAACTGGGAGAGATGTGGAATAACACTGCTGCAGATGACAAGCAGCCTTATGAAAAGAAGGCCGCGAAGCTGAAGGAAAAATATGAAATGGATATTGCTGCATATCGAGCTAAAGGAAAGCCTGATGCAGCCAAAAAGGGAGTTTTCAAGGCTGAAAAAAGCAAGAAAAAGAAGGAAGAGGAAGATGAGGAAGATGAAGAGGATGAGGAGGAAGAGGAAGATGAAGAAGATGAAGATGAAGAAGAAGATGATGATGATGAATAAGTTGGTTCTAGCGCAGTTTTGTTTTCTTGTCTATAAAGCATTTAACCCCCCTGTACACAACTCACTCCTTTTAAAGAAAAAAATTGAAATGTAAGGCTGTGTAAGATTTGTTTTTAAACTGTACAGTGTCTTTTTTTGTATAGTTAACACACTACCGAATGTGTCTTTAGATAGCCCTGTCCTGGTGGTATTTTCAATAGCCACTAACCTTGCCTGGTACAGTATGGGGGTTGTAAATTGGCATGGAAATTTAAAGCAGGTTCTTGTTGGTGCACAGCACAAATTAGTTATATATGGGGATGGTAGTTTTTTCATCTTCAGTTGTCTCTGATGCAGCTTATACGAAATAATTGTTGTTCTGTTAACTGAATACCACTCTGTAATTGCAAAAAAAAAAAAGTTGCAGCTGTTTTGTTGACATTCTGAATGCTTCTAAGTAAATACAATTTTTTTTATTAAAAAAAAAAAATTTTTTTTTTTGAGACGGAGTTTCGCTGTTGTTACCCAGACTGGATTGCAACGGCACAATCTTGGCTCACCGCAACCTCCGCCTACTGGGTTCAAGCAATTCTCCTGCCTCAGCCTCCCGAGTAGCTGGGACTACAGGCGCACACCACCATGCCCAGCTAATTTTTGTATTTTTAGTAGAGACAGGGTCTCACCTTGTTGACCAGGATGGTCTCGATCTCTTGACCTCGTGATCCACCCGCCTCGGCCTCCCAAAGTGCTGGGATTATAGGCTTGAGCCACCATGCCCAGCCCAGTATCAAAAAATTTTTAAAAATTAAAATAGTAAAAATAAAGAGGAAATAGAAGAAAAAATGAGAAAAAGAAAAGCACTTTTAAGCTGAGAAATAAAAGGGGAGAGGGTTGAGTTCCTCTTCTCTCCTCTCTGCTGTGTTTTCTTGACTCTTGCTGCCATAATTGGTACATTCACAGAAAATGAAGCACGGTGTCTGGTGAAATGTGGAGAATCAGATGTTCGAAATGTTTCTGTTATGTACTTCAAAGCTAGACTCGCTGAAAATGGAGCCCATCCAATGTGATCATGCTGTCCTTAAAAACGTTCCTTTGATAAACATTAAACTGTTCTGTTTACCAGAAATGTTAATGGGGAAAACAAACAGGGCTATTTAGGGGTATTTCAAAGTTGAAGTTTAAAACATAAGAGAAAACGAGAGGCACACAAAAAAGAAAAATCCAAAACTTCATGAACACTGCAGACCTCAGCTGCCCTTGACATCTTTTTCTCTGCCTAACATTATATAATTCTTCATCAGCCAAATACATAGTTTCACATGCTAAAATTCACTGTGTATGTGCCATACTTAAAGGATATGGTATTGAAAGGAAACAATAATATAAAACTATGTACGAAGGTTTGGGAACCAGCGCACATATGACCTGAGAATTTTCTAAAGAAACTTTAAGGATATTACTGAAAACTAAGTGGGGGGCCCAGACTTTCCCACAGATGGTACTAAGTGGGGGGCCCAGACTCCCCCACAGATGGTGTAATTGATCCAGGCACCCTAACAGATCGTCCTGCTGAAAACAACTAAAAATTCTGGATAAAACACTAAAAAGATCTTCTTCTAAATAAATGAATAAAAGTAAGGAATATTCAGCCAAACCAAGTGACAACAGATACCCAGAGAGATAAACAGAGCAATGGCCAAACCAGTTAGCTTTCAGTTTTCAAGAGCTTACGGAACTCAGGGACAGGAGACAGAACTCAAGTTCTGCCCAAGATGGAGATTCTAATTGGATATTCTCCCACACAGGTGAGACCCTAGAGCTACACCCTTACCATTACGCTAAACTAGAAATAAATCTGACCACTCCACCTGCAGGGGCTACGGAGCCAAAATGGCCTTGGTTCTTGGTACTACATAAAAGTGAAAAAGAACTCCTGAAAAAGATATAAAAACTAGTCCTAACAATTTGCAGCTTAGTTTCCCAGGGTTGAAACTGGTCCTAAGGGCCAGGCACGGTGGTTCATGCCTGTAATCCCAGCACTTTGGGAGGCCGAGGCGGGTGGATTACCTGAGATAGGGAGTTCCAGACCAAGCCTGGCCAACATGGTGAAACCCCGCCTCTACTAAAAATACAAAACAATTAGCCAGGCGTGGTGGCGGGCACCTGTAATCCCAGCTACTCTGGAGGCCGAGGCAAGAGAATCACTTGAACCCAGGAGTTAGAGGTTAGAGTGAGCTGAGATCACACCACTGCACTCCAGCCTGGGCAACAGGAACTGTCTCAAAAAAATTAAAAAAAAAGAGTGAAACTCCAACTCATAAATAAATAAATAAATAAAACAAAGTGGTCCTAACGCAATGTTCTCTAGAAGAACCCAGCTTTATCTCAGGCCTCAAAAAATTCCCACATATAAAGTTTTAAGAAATATAAGCACAGAATCAAATATCACAAAACCGAAGCAAACTAAGCACTATGAGCAAAAGAAGCAGAAATATAGACAGCAGACTCAGACCTACCCTACAAGACTGTAGATACAGGGATTGTCAGAAACATGACATAAAATTACTATTTTAGAGCTTTTAAGAAATAAAAAAGGAATTAATAATAGAAGAATATACAAATGACCAAGCAGTTTTTTAAAAAAATAAATAGAAGGCCGGGCGCGGTGGCTCAAGCCTGTAATCCCAGCCCTTTGGGAGGCCGAGGCGGGTGGATCACGAGGTCAAGAGCTCGAGACCATCCTGGTCAATATGGTGAAACCCTGTCTCTACTAAAAATACAAAAAATTAGCTGGGCATGGTGGCGCGTGCCTGTAATCCCAGCTACTCAGGAGGCTGAGGCAGGAGAATTGCCTGAACCCAGGAGGCGGAGGTTGCGGTGAGCCGAGATCGTGCCATTGCAGTCCAGCCTGGGTAACAAGAGCGAAACTCCGTCTCAAAAAATAAATAAATAAATAAATAAAATAAATAGAATTCTGGAGATGAAAACTGGAGTAATAAAAATTTGAAATTCAGTGGACAGATTTAACAGCAGATTAGACGCAACTGAAAAGAGAAGGCAGTTCAGAGGAAGAAAGGGTGAAAAAAAAGCAGAGAAGACAGAGCTGAAGAAATGACGCAGATGACAGCACAGTGAGAAAATGAAATGGAAAATGAGCCAGGCACAGTGGCTCATTTTGAGAGTGACACTTCATCACAAAAGTAAAAAATAAATAAATAAAATAAAGTGGACCTGTAATCCCAGCACTTTGGGAGGCCAAGGCAGGATTGCTTGAGGCCAGGATTGCTTGAGACCAGCCTAGGCAACATAGTGAGGCCTCATGTTTGCAAAAACACAAAAATGAGTGGGGTGTAGTGGTGTATGCCTGCAGTCCCAGCTACTCAGGAGGCGGAGGCAGGAGGATTGCTTGAGGCCTGGAGGTGGAGGTTGCAGTGAGTTGGGATCACACCACTGCACTACAGCCTGGGTAACAGAGCAAGGTGCTGTCCAGAAAAGAAAAAGAAAGGGAATAGAAGGGAAGTGGAGGGGAGGGGAGTGTAGAAAATGGCAGGGGAGGGAAGGGGAGGGCAGGGGAGTGAGGGGAAGGGAGAAAGAGGAGAGGGGAGGGAGGTGGGGAGGGGAGGGGAAAAGAAAGGAAGAAAGAGAGAAAGGGAAGAAAAGAAAAGAAATGGGAAATAAAAAGATACCCAGATTCAAGAACCTCAAAAACTTTATAACAGAAATAAAAGGAAATCCACATTTCAACACGCTGTAATAAAATTGCAGAACACTAAAGACAGAGACTAGATCTTAGAAACAGACAAAAGAGGCTGGGCATGGTGGCTCACACCTGTAATCCCAACACTTTGGGAGGCCAAGGTGGGCAGATTGCTTGAGGTCAGGAGTTTTTTTTGGGGTGGGGGGACAGACACTTTTGATTTATTGATGTTGCTTTGTGAGAACAAATTTATAGCCTGGGGAGCCATTTTCCAAGGGGAATAGCGGATGGCTGGGAAGGTCTGATCAGCTTTGATGTCGGTAGCAGGAATGTGGCCAGGAGGCGGCGCTGCCAGCTGCTCTTTGTAAAACACGCAGTCTACCTGCTGGCTGGTGGCTGGGCCTTTCCCAGCACCTGCCTGTAGGACTCCCCCATGGGCCTGTCCCCAGTGGGCACTCCAAGGGCGGCAGTGCACTACAGTCCTGCCCCTTCTGCAAAGGTTGGAGAATCTCAGGATCTTGTTTGAATCAGCTCCAAACCCCTCAGGTCCTTTTCCGTCTGCAACCAGAAGCCACTAGAAACACAAGACCTGCTTCTGTGGACCAGGGGCTTCCCTAGGGTGGCCTCAGCCCCGGCTGAGGTCCCTAGAAGTCCAGGAGCTTCTCCAGCTGGTCCACATCCACAAGAATGGCATCTTCTGCCTGGGCCTGCTGCACTTCACGGACTGCTGCTTCCACAACGAAGATCTTCAGCAGCTCCGCCATGAGCTGCAGTGAGTCCCCGCTAACTTTGGTCTTGTCATCCTTAAAGTGCGCGTGCAGCAGCCTGCTCACCAGCTCCTTCCGGAAACCAGCTCCTGCTCCAGCTCCCTCCATGGCCACCTCCTCGGCGCACTGAGGTCAGGAGTTTGAGACCAACCTTGACAACATGGTGAAACCCTATCTCTACTAAAAATACAAAAAATTAGCTGGGTGTGGTGGCAGGTGCCTGTAATCCTAGCCACTCAGGAAACTGAGGCAGAAGAATTGCTTGAACCTGGGAGGCGGAGGTTGCAGTGAGCCATGATTGTGCCACTGCACTCCAGCCTAGACAACAAGAGCGAAACTCCGTCTCAAAAAGAAAGAAAGAAACAGACAAAAAAGTCAGAAAACATCAGCCTGCAACAATGAGACTGACAGCTGGTTTCTCAAGAGCAAGAGTAAAAGTAAGATGATAATGGAATAATACTTTCAATGTGCTGAGGAAATTAGCATCAACCTAAAATTCTATACCCACTGAAAATATATATAAAGAACAAGGGAGAAGAAGGAGGAAGAGGAGGAGAGGAGGAGAAGGAATATCAAACAAATACAACCTAAAATCATTTGCTACCAAAGACCCACAGAAAAGGAAATTCCAAAGTGCTTACTTCAGGCAGAAGGAACGTAATCTCAGATGGAAGGAATGAGATAAAGGAAGGGGTGTGGCCAGGCATGGCGGCTCACACCTGTAATCCCAGCACTTCGGGAGGCCAAGGCAGGCAGACCATGAGGTCAAGAGATTGAGACCATCAGGGCCAACATGGCGAAATGCTGTCTCAACTAAAAATACAAAAATTCACTAGGCACGGTGACAGGTGCCTGTCATACCAGCTACTCGGGAGGCTGAAGCAGGAAGATCACTTGAACTTGGGAGATGAAGGTTGCAGTGAGACAAGATCTGCACTCCAGCCTGGTGACAGAACAAGACTCCATCTCAAAAAAACAAAAGGAAGAAGTGAATCACATGTAAACTCTGTATTTTATCTGCTCTGCTATTGACTACATAAAACTATATAACAAAAACTATGGCTAGCATCTAAAAAGCTAATAGGAGGATGTCCACTGCCATCCAGACCCCAGGACCACAGTGTAGGCCCAGCCATGGCTCGGTACTCCCTGTGGACCTCAACAAGGGTCAGAAGGTGACCAAGAGGGCGAGCAAGCCAAGGCACAGCCTCCTGGCAGGCACTGCACCAAGCACACCAGGTTCCTGCAGGGCCTGATTTGAGAAGTGTGGACTTCACCTCAAACAAGCGAGCGACTTGCCTACACAACTGTTCCAAATATCCACGGGGATCTGACCCTCACATTCATCAGGAAAACGGGTGGGAACACATATTCTCACCAAGAGGGAGTGGGAAGGACTGAGCAGGGCCCCAGTCTTCATGAGGAAAGCTGCCACGAGGACTGAGCCTCTCCTCTGTCCGTGCATAATGAAACCTTGATGGAAAAAAACCAGGACGGAATAAAATACACAGCCCCATACATAGAAGTCAGAAGGTGGGCGATCGGTGTTCACGAGTTCTAAGGCCCTTACTGTGTATGGGAGAAGGTAAAAGAATAATGATTCATGGTGGTTTTGGCAAGTTAAGCATGCACAATAAATTTTTAGGTCAGCCACTAAAAGATTAGAAATAGAGTATTTAGCTTCTAAATAGTAGAGGGGGGAAAATGAGAAAAAAAAATTAAGTGACAAAAAGTAATTGATCAAAAAGAAGAGAGAAGAAACAAGCATAAAAAGGAAAAATCAAAGAGACCATAAAAATGTGTGTGTATAAATACACATACATGTATTTTCACATGGTTTTAAAAAAATTTATATAAATTTATACATATAAAACATTTATATAAAAATAATATATATGACATATATAAAACATATTTTTAATATATATAAAATAAAAATATATAAACCATTTATATATAAAAGAAATATATACATAAATTTTCAATATATATAATACACACACACACACACACACACACTTTCAAATGGTTTAGAAAAAACGTATGTGTGTATATATATATGGTAGGGCTCAGTGTCTCATGCCTGTAATCCCAGCACTTTGGGAGGCCGAGGTGGGTGGATCACCTGAGGTCAGGAGTTTGAGACCAGCCTAGCCAACAAACAATATGGTGAAACCCCATCTCTACTAAAAAAATACAAAAATTAATTGGGCATCGTGGCAGGTACCCGTAATTCCAGCTACTTACGAGGCTGAGGCAGGAGAATCACTGGAATCTGGTAGGTAGAGGTTTCAGTGAGCTGAGATCATGCCATTGCACTCCAACCTGGGTGACAAGGTGAGACTCCATCTCCAAATATATATGTATACATATATATATGTGTGTGTATATATATATAAGGTATATATACATGTGTGTGTATATATACTGACAGATAGACAGATGCCAGGCGTGGTAGCTCATATCAGTTATCTCAGCTTTCTGGGAGGCTGAGATGGGAGTGATTGCTTCAGGCCAGGAGTTTGAAGCCAACCTGGACAACAGTGAAATCCCATCTCTACAGAACATTTTAAAATGCTAGGTACAGTGTCATGCATCTGTGGTCCTAGCTACTCCAGAGGCTGGGGGTGGGAGGATCACTCCTTGATCCCAAGAGTTCGAGGTTGCAGTCAGCTATGATTTCACCACTGTATTCCAGCCTGAGCAACAGAGTGAGACCTTGTCTCTAACATTTAAAAAGTAAAGGTAGATAGACAAAGCAAAAATGGTAACATGTTAACAATTGTTGTACCTAAGTAGTAGGTATTTGTGTGCTGATTGTACTGTTCTTTCATCTTTCATATACACTGAAAATTTTTTGTAATGAAAAGGTATAGCTGGGTGCATTGGCTCATGCCTATAATCCCAGCACTTTGGGAGGCTGAGGCGGGAGGATTGATTGAGGCCAGGAGTTAGAGACCAGCCTGGTCAACACAGCGAGACCTTGACTTAAAAAAAAAAAAAAAAGTTTAAAAAAAAGAGAAAAGTTATGGAAAAAACACAGTTAATAAAATTTACCACATTACTAGAGTAAGGAAAAAAGTTATTGACAAAACTGAACATTTGTTTATGATTTTAAGGGAAAAAAACCTTAGCAAACATAATGATATATTTTTAAAAAAAAGCATTTCCCTTAAGATTTGAGACAAGACAAGGATGGCTGATTTTCAGAATTGTATTGGAAGCCATCACAGTAAGCCAAGAGCAAGTATAAGAATTGGAACGGAAGAGGCCAGGTGGGGTGGCTCATACCTGTAATCCCAGTACTTTGGGAGGCTAAGAGGGGTGGATCACCTGAGGTTAGGAGTTTGAGACCAGCCTGACCAACATGGTGAAACCCCATCTGTACTAAAAATACAAAAAGTTAAGTAGGGCTTGGTGGTGTGCACCTGTAGTCCCAGCTACTTGGGAAGCTGAGGCAGGAGAATCGCTTGAACCTGCGAGGTGGGGGTTGCGGTGAGCTGAGATCGTGCCACTGTACTCCAGCCTGGGTAATAGAGTGAGACTTCATCTCCATGAGCCTCTGTGCCTGGCCAAGCAAGCATATTAGATACAAAATCAATAAATGAAAATCAAGTGCATTTCTATACACCAACTACCAATAGAAATTATAATTGAAAAGAGATATACTTGGCTGGGAGTAGTGTGGCGTGCACCTGTAATCCCAGCTACTCGGGAGGCTGAGGCAGGAGAATGGCTTGAATCCAGGAGGCAGAGGTTGCAGTGAGCTGAGATCATGTCATTGCACTCCAGCCTGGGTTACTCCGTCTCAAAAAAAAAAAAAAAAAAAAAAAACAGAGAGAGAGAGAGAGAGATACTTTATAACAGGATCATATACATGAAGTACAGAGGAATCAATCAAATGAAGATGTGCCAGAGCTCTCTGAGGAAAAATTATAAAACTTTATTAAAAGATTTAAAGAATACTAAAATAAATAGAGCACTGTACTATGTTCATGCAATGCAAGACTCACATGTATAAAAATGTCAGCTCTTCCCAAATGGATCTACAGATTCAATGCAATCTCAGTCAAAATCCCAACAGATTTTGTGAAGAATTTGACAAGTTTATTCTAAAATGTAAATGAAAGTACAAAAGACCAGGAATAGCCAAGACAAAAAAAGGACTTCCTTTCCAGATCTAGCCTCTGTAAATCAACAGTGATTAAGGCAGTGTGATATCACAGGAAGGTCAAAAAACTAGAGCACTGAAAACAATAGAGAGCCCAGAAATACACACTTGCGTCCATGCCACTTGATACATAACAGAGGGGGTCCTGTGGATAGATAAGCGCAATAAATAGCACTAGGACATTGAGTATCTATACAGTAAAAAAACAAAATGAACTCTACTTTTCACCATATGCAAAATGCAGTTCCAGATGAATCAGAAGTCCAAATATGAAAAGGGAAAAATAAAATAAAGCTTTTAGAAGATAATAAAAGAGAATATTTTCATGGCCTCGGAATATATATATATAATATAGTAAGAATATATATATATAATATAGTAAGAATATATATATATAATATATAGTGGAAGATTTCTTTTTTCTTCCTTTTTTTTTTTTTTTTTGACATTGTCTTGCTCTGTCACTCAGGCTGGAGTGTGGAGTGCAGTGATGCGGTCTCTGTTCACTGTACCCTCTGCCTCCCAGATTCAGGTGATTCTCCTGCCTCAGCCTCCTGAGTAGCTGGGACTACAGGTGTGCACCACCACACCTAATTTTTTTGTTTGTTTTTTGTTTTTTGAGACAGAATCTCGCTCTGTTGCCCAGGCTGTAGTGCTGTGGCACAGTCTTGGCTCACTGCAACCCCCACCTCCCAGGCTCAAGTGATTCTCCTGCCTCAGCTTCCCAACAACCTGGGAATACAGGTGCCTGCCACCACGCCCAGCTTATTTTTTGTATTTTTAGTAGAGACAGGGTTTCACCATGTTGGCCAGGTTGATCTCCAACTCCTGACCTCATGATCTACCCACCTCGGCCTCCCAAAGTGCTGGGATTACAGGCATGTGCCACCATGCCTGGCCCTAATTTTTGTATTTTTAATAGAGATGGGATTTCACCATGTTGGCCAG